GTGGACTGACTGTTGGTGGACTGACTGTTGGTGGACTGTTGGTGGACAGAAGGGGAAGTGGATCCAACAAACAGGACTTAAACCAGTAAGACCGATGTTCCACACCACGATGTGGTTTTGTTGCCTAAAACCTGACTTTCATTTTTAACGTAATGTCCCCCCAAAATTAAAACGTCTCTGCACAAAACCAACAGATAATATTTAGTGACTTTCATAAACTGTCCTGAGACTGTGATGTAAAGACTGAGTCCTCCTGCTCCAAATATTTACACACAAATGTCTGTTTGGTTTTACTCAGTGAGCTGTTTGCTTCTTAAACATTTCAACAGCAGCTAAACATTTACTGGAAATCCAAAACCGTCCAGTACTGGACTATATATATATATATATATATATATATATATATATATATATATATATATATATATATATATATAGTAATCAATGAGTTGATTTTATCAACAATCTGTAAAACTGAGTTTCTCCAACAAGAATCCAAGTAAAGCACCAAAACTTTAAATATTTAACAGAGACGTGTTCATAAATATCATTAAATGATTAATTCAGCATTAAAAAAGGATTAAAAACGACTAATCGCCAAAATAAATCTTAGTGCACTGATGGATATATGACTGATATACATTTATATTTATATATTGTATATTTATATATTATATATTTACATGTATACATAGTGAATATTTTACATATTATACATTTATATTTATATAAAGTAACATGAACTGTGAGCAGATCTTTAAGGTAAAGTCATAGACAGTGAAGGGAAATCCATCTCATAATAAAAACCATGAAGAAATCTTTAGTTCAGTAAAAACACCTCTCAGAGAGATTCATACCACTTATTTTAATAACTAAAGATTGTCCAGACTTTAAACTTATTGTTTTGACAATCTGCTGATCTTGATTGATTGATTGATTTAATGATTGGTTGATTGATGTAATGATTGGTTGATTGATTGATTGGTTTAATGTTTGATTGATTGATTGTTTTGTTGTGTATAATCAGATTTATCATGTTATCTGTGACGTGTTATTGCAGCAGAGTGACGTTGATGCTCCGGTGTCGTCCTCCCACGCCGCTCTGCTCTGGCGGAGAATGGGAGGAAGAGGAGTCCAGCGGGGGGAAGAGGAAGATATCTGAGGAGAGGAGGAAGAGGAGGAGGAAGAGGATCTTCTCTGTTCATCTGAAACAACATGAACGTCTGCACAGCTGCAGAGAACATCTGTGATCTTTAGATTAAAGCGGCTTGATGTTTGCTTTAGAAGTGCTTCATGGGGGTAAAAGTCTTTGATGATATAAATATGAGACATTTTCTATCTTTATGATTTGGACTCAAAATAATCTGTCACAATAATCTCTGCTCACCTTGAATGACATCTTTTATAAGTTTTATTGTTGATTTTTCTTTTTAAGTTAAGTTATTTTTACTGTTGCACTACTTGATTATTATCTTTTTTTAATGTTTTTATCTATTTTTATTATTATTTTTATCTTACTATATTTAGTGTTTTGCACCAAAACATTAAGATAATTTCTTTGTAAAAATATTTGGCAATAAACCTGATTCTGAGTTGTTGTTTTTTACTATATATTCTTTCTACATGTATTCATATATTTACGTGTCTCCACGTTTAATTATTTAATTACAAATATATTTCCACATTTCTATTTTTCCACATTTAAATACATGTGGAAATAAGTCAAAATATAAATAATTTTGTAACAAATATATAACTAAATGAATAAAAAGGAAGAAATATATTTACAAGTTAAGACAACAAAAAAAAACAATAAATGCATGAAAAATGTGTTTTATTGCCTATTATTATATATTTTTTGTAAGGAGTATACAAAAAGTCCCCGCAAACAGAGTTGTACTTGAGGTATATATATAACAGTGTATAATATAATTAAAGGGGGAAGTGACGGTACATTTGTAAATTTAGCATTTATAATTTCCTTTTTAAACATAATAACATTGCTAAATTGTATTACATTTGCAGTATCTGTTTCATTTTCCTGGTGGAAATAGAATACCTCTGTATTAGAGTCCTGTTCCAGTCTCATAATCCGGTCCGTAGTTTAGCTCCTCCCCTCCTGATCGATGGCACCCCATGTTTTACCTCTCGCCATTTCACCTCCCTGCGTGACCGGAAGTTGAGATGAAAACAAGAAACAGCCTGAATTTATCCCCCAAAATGGTGGATTAAAACAGTAAAAAAGTATTGTTATTGGTGTTGTTTTTTAACCCTTCAGATGATGTCCAACACCGCGAGGAGTGGTGACATCATCCACCTGAACGTCGGAGGGAAGAGGTGAGGACCCGGATGTTGTTGGAGAGCTAATGCTAAACGGCTAGCTAGCTAACGTTAAGTTACTGAGAACACTGCTAACAATGTTTTTAATGAGTTAACTAATCATTACAAAGCATTAAACACATGGATCACTATTTTATAAACTGTTCACTCATGAAAAACTTCACTTAAGCTAGTTTTTAAAACAAATGTGACGCTTTTCTTCACACTTATTATTGTTAGCTAATGCTAACTAGCATGTCCTGTGATCTACTGATTCTTTTGTCAGTCAGTTGTGTTTTAAAGGAAAGTAACGTGGAGGGAGAGCCAGAGAGCGAGAGACACAGAGCGAGAGACACAGAGCGAGAGAGAGAGAGAGAGAGAGAGACACAGAGAGAGACAGACAGACAAACAAAAGTACTTAAAGTATAAGTATTGTTTGTACCTGTCAGTGTTTTACTATTACAGCTGATGTTTCCTTTTTTAAAACTTCTTAATACACAGTTTTTATTTATTATAAATATCCGCACATCAATTAAGAAGCTGGAACTTAAAGTGATTGAAACAATCTTCACCAAAAGCTTAAGAAATACAATCTTTCTAAATGTCCTCAATTAAATAATACTAGACTGATAACAAGAAGATAGTAACTCTGAAGAAGAAGAAGAAGAAGAAGAGGTAACTAGGTCATGTTTGTTACAGGTTCAGCACCTCCCGACAGACGCTCACCTGGGTTCCTGACTCCTTCTTCTCCAGGTGAGAGAAGAACATTCAGTTAAAGAAGAAGAACATTGTACCACAAGTTCAAAGTGTCTCTCAGAGGTGAGAGACTCTAAACTGCTGTGATTTCTACCCGAGTTTGGTCTCAAGGTTCTTCTGTGTAAACGTCTGTTACAGTCTGCTGAGCGGGAGGATCTCCACTCTGAAGGATGAAACTGGAGCAGTGAGTTCTGTGTGTGTTAATAACTGTGTGTGTGTGTTAATAACTGTGTGTGGGTGTGTGTGTGTTAATAA